TCTTTCAATAATTAACAATTAAAGTAACATGTCAATTATATAACATGCAATAGACTTGAAGGACTAATTTACATTTTTTACAAAAGAAACACCCAATTCTGCGAAAGTACATCTGTTGAATGATCTTCAGGTCCACCTAGTAATCTATAAAGCTTCTATTCTGACTTGTTTTTTTTTTTTTCCTGCTTTTATAATATTTGTTAGTTTTGACTAAATCCCAGAAAGAAAAGTAGTCATCATCCACCATGAGAAAAATAAAGGTTGTTTCATCATCCATGACTGGACGGTATTCTTTGTATAGACAATCTCTCAATGGTCATCTGTTGAATGATCAGAAACACGGTTTCAAACTTCAAAAAGGAGACCATGACTCATTATAAGTAAGAGGCACTAAAAGTTCATTCCTACACGACCACCAAACAATCTTGAGAGTGTAACAAAATGCTCAGGCTTCCTCGGATTGCTGCTTCAAGGGCTTTGCTTGTGGCTTACGTATTACTGTTATCAACAATAATATGTTCTTACTTTCTGTTTACAGAAGCAAGAATTTCTGGTTTCTCAGTTATTCAAGGTGCGAAAGTAATTAAAGTAATAATATGTTACTTCTCTCCTCTGATCTACTCGTATCCCTAGTTTCTTTTGATAATGAGGTAATAACCTCGATTATTCTTTTTCAGCATAGGCTTACGGCTAGAATAAATAAGATTGTTAAGTTTGTATTTCAGAAAACTATTTAAAAAGAAAAATCTAGTAATAAAACTTTGAATTAGAATTTCTGTACAATGACACTAATCAGTGGAATTCTGTGCTGCTTGTGCTTGTTTCCTTCATGTATTATTTTTATCTGCGTCAAATATCCCTAGGAGTTCTTCAGTTCTACGCACTGTGTTTTATCTTCCCATTTTATTTCTAACAATTTCTCTGTACGAACGGCATTGAATGACAGAAAATCTTCCAGTGCATCGGAGCGCAAGGGAAATACCTACTAAAATCTTTTCTCCCGCAATAAGTCCACCACGTGGACATCATGGATAAAGTACTAGGAGAAGAGAAGACGCAGCAGGACAGGTCTTGGATGTGGGTAACGCAGGGGGGAAAAAAAAACACGGCCTGTATTCAATTAATTGTAACTCATGATGAATACATAGAATGTTTATTGTAAGCAATAATATCGTATGAATTTCTGTCAGAAGGCCCTGGAAAATGAAGTCAAATCAGTTGCAAAGCTTTCCAATAATTTTCATACTCTTAAACATGTCCTGTCTTGTCCTGAAGCAGAGGAGTATTTACTTGTTTGGTGTTTGAGTGTTTTCTTTAATGGTGATATATACTCAATCTAAAACCGCCATCCAAATTTCAGCAGCAAAACCTAACAACAGCAATTATATATAGAATGATCCAGCATGTTGAAGGACTTGTACCAGTGTAGATTTTTGTATTTGAACTAGCTGGTTAGGTTTCTTCTCTAGTTATGGAATCTGAACCTTTAATGGCAAACACTACAGTTTCCCCTTCCAAATCTTCCCTCTCTCCTGCAATTCTCTCATTACCTCAGCTTAATAAAGCAGAGACAATCTACTGGATCCAAACCCATTGTATGAAGATTAGTTTCAGAAGGATCAGGTGCTCATCAGCTGGATTTTATCTTTCTCAAGCGAGGAAGTATTACCATGTGTCGCTGGGTTTAGACACTAGGTATGCATGAAGTTTGGCATGCTTTAGAGGGGGTTTTGGGTTCAGTATGAAGCTCTAATTAAGTAGGTTCAGCTGCATCTGGCATTCAAGGAGCTAACACTTCATATAAAACAATGAATTTCTTCAGGAGGCCAAGATGATAGTGGATTAGCTGGCCGCTTAGATGTTCCTCCTTCTAAAAGCTGAATTTAATGCTAGCACATCATGCTTCTACCTGCAAAATACCAACCCTTTATAGCATCCATATCAGCAAGGATGGTCTCCTTTCATGAATTTCCGGTTAGCTAATTGCTCATGATGTTTTGATGAACAATTCTGTTCATTTCATACTTGATGTCGCTAATATGCAAGACAAGAAGGGCAAAATTCAAACAGCAACAAGTATAGAACCCAATTTATCAAAATGTTGGGTCAGAACAAGAAGTTTTACATAACGGAGAGACTTTCTGGAGAGACAACTATGACAAACTCTGAGGGCCGAGATGGGACCCACATGGCAAAACGCAGCTCTCAAGTTCGTTTCTGTTACTTCCGGCTCTTTCTGTTAATTAATATATTTTTAATGTTTTTAAATTATTTTAATATATTAATTTTAAAAATAATTTTTTTAAAATAAAAAATAATTATTAGTATATTTTTCTAAATAAAAAATACTTTTAAAAAATAAATGTAATCACACTTTTAAATACATTCCAGCCCTCTAGCATGAAGCTTTTTAAAGATTATATTTGAGTTTGTTTTTTTAAGGTTATTAATTTAAATTTTATAAATTTTAGAATTATTAAAATTTATATAATTATTAAATTTAAAAATTATAAAATTAATTAAAATATATACAAAATAACCCAAACATTAATATTAATAAAAAAATAAAGATATTAGATAGTGATTTTTCATAGTTAAATAATGATTTTTTTCCAAACAGATCATGAAGATACACTTATAAAATAGTACAATTAATAAAACTAAGTTAAAGAAAGGTTTAACGACACCAAACTAACAATTTAACAATAAAATATCATAGCTTTCCATCCTATCATTAAATTCAGCTTAAATTTTCCCCAGTGATTCTTAATGTCCTGTTCTATAATGGGTCACCAAGCTTGTGTGGATCTATAATGTTGTTTTTATCAAAAAAAAATTATTATTATTATTATTATTATTTTATTTTACTATTATTTTATTTTATTTTATTATTTCTTTTTGTTTAGGGATTCAAATTTTTCTCCCGTATTAAAGTCAGAATATATTTAAAGAGTTGTAAACCACAGAATATATCAAACTTTATTCTAAAAAAATTATGATTCTTGGTGCGTCGCCCTGTCATATCAAGCTCTGATCTTCTTATTGTTTGCCTTCTTTGTTTTTGGGTTCTCATCTTCATCACTTTCTTGCTATCCTCTTCGATCAAAGCATAGAGAAGAGTGAAGGGAAGTAGGTTTTTAGAGAGATTAATGACGTTTTGGTCTTGGGAGAGAGAGGAAGGACAAAAAAGGAGGGATATAATTTATACATCTTATAATTGTAATTAGATTAAAATATATATATAAGCTTGTTTTGTCCGAAAAAATGCCACGTTCTCAAAAAAAAAATTATATTGGGTGAAAAAACAAAAAAAAATCTTTTAGACATTTTTCAACTTTAAGCAGAAAAAAGAAGATTAATTTTTCTATTTTCATTTTTTACTTTTATATTTTCTTGAAAAATACTAGATTAGAATAGCATACTATTACTCCTAGTAATTAAGTTTGGGTAGTGGATCATTAATTTGTTGAGTTCACTTGGATGATCTTTGACATTGTTAATTTATTTTAAAAAAAATTAAAATTGTGTTATTCAATTTGTTTTTAAGAAATTAATTTTGATTCGATCTTGTTAAATTATGTGAATTTAAAATTGAAAAAATGTAGTTATTAATGTGTATATAAGATAAATATTTTTTTTCACTTATAATTTTGATTGGATTATAATGCTTAAATTTTAAAAACAATTAATTTGTACATGAAGTTAATAAAAAATATCAGGTAGGTTGATGATCAAAATCTAATTGGGATACATGTTATCTTTATTTTTTGATATTTTATTCCTGAAAAATCTTATCCTTAGCCTTTCAAGGATTATCAATAGCAAAAACATATCACTCAAAAACTAACAATAATAGAAGAGATAAATTTATAAATTAAATAAAATAAAATATGTTTCTAGAATACGATAACACAATTAAATTAATTATAAAAAAAACCTAAATGTGAATTGCACTGTGTAGCAATAATAAAAGATCATTTTATTAAATCCTCTAAAGGAATATCTAATAAAATTATAATTAAGAGGTAAAATAATTTTTTTATTGGATGCAGTTGTCATTAACTTATTGATCGGGGTATGTTATATCGGTCGTTTAGATTTTTTGCCCAATAAAATTATTTAAATAACTTTAAAAGCAAAAAATCAAAATAAAACTGATTTTTAACCTTTAGAATACATAATGAATTGAGAACGTTACCCTTGATAGCAAAGAAAATATGCTGAGTCTAGCTAGGGACATTTTCTTCTTGTCATTAATGCTTGAAATATAATTAATGGCGAACTATATATATATTTACCTATTTAAAACAAGCATAATTTAGCTTATAAAAAGTATGAAGAAGATATAAATTTGCATTTTTTACTTTTAAATTTGAATTATGTTTTCAACTGTGTATTTTATTAAATTCAGAGTTTTTTTTATTATCTAATAATTGGGGTGGATTGATATACAGCAGGGTAGAATAACATTATCCAAAAAAATCGGCAAATATATTTAATATATATAAATCCTTTGATGAAACCCTAAACCTATATATTGACATCAATATCTTTCTTCTTTCAACCCTACCTCCATTGCTCCTCCTCTCCCTTAGTTGAAACCCTGAGCCTATAACTCTTCCGCATAATTTCATTAAGAAATCCGTCCCTATGAGCGGAGGAAATGACGTTGCTGGATCCGTTTCCACCCTCCCCGAAGAGATTATCGCGGAAATTCTCACGAGACTACCTGTCAAATCCCTACTCTGTTTCAAATCGGTATCAAAAGACTGGTATTCTCTCATCACAAACCCTGAATTTGTCCCCGCTCACCTCCGCAATTCCACCGAAAGACCCTCTATCTTATTACGAGGATTCCGTTGGCCGGAAAAGTCCGCCCTAACATTGCTCCACCACAAAGATACCAGAACTTTCTATTCTCTACACATACCACAATCCCTGATGTACAATTATACCTACATGAGAAATTATTTCTTAAACCCACAAATACCTCCAAAACTTTCTTTTATCCTGATAGGTTCTAGTGGTGGTTTGCTCTGTATCAAGCTTTGTGACTACCATGGAGTAGACTATGTTTTGTGGAACCCTGCTACCAGGAAGTTCAAATACGTGAAACATCCTCAGCAGGATTTCCAACTTTTAATGGATGGGTTCGGGCATCATGGTAAGATGAACGATTACATGTTGGTGAAGATTGGACGGCTCTTTCATTCACCGAATTTCGATGCTGTTGATGATGATCAACTGTATGACAAGGAAGAACGGAATTTTGTTCTTCGAGCTTTGGTGTACTCTTGGAGAACAGATTCTTGGAGACTAGTCTATGATTGTAGGATTATAGCTGATGATTTTTGTTCACGTGGTCAAGCAGTGTCTGTGAAGGGTGAGTTCTATTGGCACGTGAATGGTTTACAGGACATTATCCTTGCATTTGATACGGCTAAGTATGTGTTTAGATGGATTAACTTTCCCCCTTGGAACCAGTCGACTCTGGTAGAGGTGAGGCTGGTTTCAGGTGGGATTAAAATCTCGCTTGCTTGTTATTTTTTACTCTACAATGGCTCCACGTCCATAACAACGGATATTTGGGTAATAGATGAGAGTGGATCAGGCGTTGGCAATGAAGAGAGCTGGACAAAATTCTTAAGCATACCATTTTTAGGAACTCTACATCAAGTACTTACGTGGGGAGATAAGGTGATCGTCAACGGAAAAAGGGATGGCCACATCTTGATTTATGATCCGATTAGTCAAGAGATAATTTATGATTTTCTTAATCCCTATTTCAGTTCCTATCATCTGGATGGTTATGTGGAAAGTCTAGTCTCTGTTGATGGACCAAACAATCTAGAAGCAGAGCATGCTCCTGTTTGAAGTGAAGACAAGACATAGACTAGAATGAAAAAGCTCAGCTCTCATTCGTCGGAATGTTTCAGGAGAAAATTATATATAAGAATTCTTCTATTCTGTTTCTCTCTTAGTAATATCATAAATAAAAAAGTTTCATTTGATTTTTCTCCACATAATTAATATCCTTGTATTTAATGATATAACTATGCTCTTGTTTCGTGTAGTGTTGCAAAATGATTAATTGCATGATCTCTATGATTTAGTTATTGTTTTGGAGTAAAAAGAGATAGAAAGCGAGCTAAACTGATCATCAACAAAGAGCAATGCTTCAAGTTAAAATCATTCAGCTGTGCTGATGATACGACCTATTCTATATGCACAGCT